AAGTTAACAGTAATTCAGTTTTTCATTTGGGTTATCATTAAACCTGGATTTTCTTCAATATTCACCACAAAATACGTATTTTTTTAGTATCGATGCAAACACTTTTTCTCTAGAAATTTGCAAGAATGCTTTCAAATATAAAACCAGATTGAGTTGTGGGCTATTTGAGTTGTCTTTTGAAATGCCACTAGTATTAGGTGCCAGTGCAGAACATATAGGCAGTTAGGAATTTGAACAAAACAGTGTCGAGCAGAAGTGTCTCCTTCATCTTCATTTCATGGCGTGAGGATCTTTCTGTAAGTTTCAATCTAATCCCTACAGTCCCAGTTTCATTTAAAGAACACTTCTGCCTCTTCTAACATCTTAAGCAAAGATCTGGCATATAAATTGATGGAATGAACACTTCTTTGAACATCTGTGGTGTGATAATTTTGAAATGTAATGAAGACCAGAGGAATAATACCACTGTTAATTTTTCCCTCTGATTTATAGTTGCTTCACGCTGCAGAGTAGACAGTGTATCCTAGGGTCCCATTTATTAAAGCGGAAGGACCCCATGGAACATGAAACAGGAACACAGTCACATAAGAAAAATGTGGGTTAGAGCTGCAAAGCTATCAAGGTTACGTAAAAATTATTTATAAAAATATAATTTAACTGCTGATTTCAAAAGCACATTTTTACACTTCAACTTACACCTATAAAGTAAGAAAGTATCATGTCTATTTTACAAATGAGGAAACTGAGGAACAGCAGGTGAGAGAGTGAGACAATAGCAGGGGAAGAAAGTGGAATCCGAATCCTCTCTCCATCTACTTCATTATAGTTGTTAAATTTAGCAGCCGTTCAGCAGCAGCCAAGCAGTCCAGGTTTTACTTCCTTCTCCAGAAGCTGCATGTAGATAAAAATCCACGAAAATAAATAATGGCAGATTTATAAAACTAGAATTTAAAAGGTATGTGTTTGTATGTGATATAATCCTTTTATCTGTTTAGTAATGACATAAATTATCATGCAGCTTACCCATTCTGCAGCAAACAAGCAGTTCTTAAGTGCTGTAAAGTTATTTTGCTTTTCTTCCTTAAAGAGAGTGTATTCTGTCTGTGCAGACCGAATTTAGAGATTTATGTTCCCGTTTGTTTATGTATTGGTGCTTGCAATCAATGCCTGTTTTCAAACTCAATTGTGTAGATTAATTAGATTATGTCTGTATCAATTCAGGAAATGCACAACTAGGTTACTGGTTTGGACAGGTTTCCAAAGGTGGGTTCTTTCCCGTATTGCAAGCGGCCATGAAATTCTCCCTGTCCTGGCTACAACACTGCTGTCCAAGGAAATTCAGCTCTTGCTTATTGCCCTCTTCCAGCCCGTTGCATGCAGGGAGTTGCTGTGCTTTTTCTGGGAAGGAACCATCACGGTACCGAAAGCTTAAAGCAGTGTTCGGACACGCTTACGTCACTCTGATCAAGTGTTACTGAGCTTCAGGCTCCTTCACTTATTTTTCATGTTTGTTCATTAGCTGGCTTGCAGGTTTTGTTACCTATAATCGTTGCAGTGTATTAGTGTAATCTTAGGCTTTGTAGTCTTGTACAAGCTTGGTTTCACTCCATTCTACATCTCTTCTTCTGCTCAGTAAGTGCTTCCAAGTACTGTTGAAATACACCTGACGCATGCACTCTTGGTTCAAACTTAGCACTCCCTCAAAAAGCAAAAAGAGCGGGGGTTACCTCAGTATCTCACTTTTTCCTGCACAGAAAGTTCTGATGGAGTCACTTCCCTTGACAGAGACTTCAGGAAAGGGAAAGAAGTTACCCTGCCTCAGGGTCTGTCCTTCAGGACAGGTGCTACGTGGCAATTGTCACCCTCTTTCAGGAAGGGAGGTGGCCAACGCAGAAAGACGTTCTGAAGGTCAATTTAAACGTATATGAATTAGAGTTGTCTACAATAGTAAACAATAACCATATTAACATATATATAGAAATATAAGTAATACATAAAATTTTACTACTTTAGAGAGTTAGCAGAGGAACTGGTTTTGAACATGTTTTTCCAAATTGATATATTTAGAGTACAATTAACAGTTAAGCTACAGAAGGCTAGGGACATCGGAAGCCAAAACCAGCAGCTATGATAACAAGACCTTTTGTTTTAATATATGATAATGTTGCAGTTAAAGGATCTTTTTTTTTGTCCTTTATTAATTCTGTGTTTGATTTTGCAAATTTGGTGATTCTCACAATTCTCCTAATTTCTTCAGTAGCTTTTAGTATTTTTTCATTTTTAATCATCTTCCCTTGGTATTACATCATTGCTGGGCAGTGGCTGCTTTTGTTTGGAAGAGGAGTTGCAAATGCCAGAAACCATACACTGAGAAAAAAATAGGAGCAGAAGCTATTATTTAATCTGTTAATTGGATATAGAGTAGAAAGATATCTTTATTCTTCCATTTTAATCTCTTGTTTGTGCTGAGAAAAAATAGCAGTCTACAGCCCTGTGGGTTATGTTAGAAGCTAGACGTGTGTGGCCTTTCACTGTGCACTGAAGTGTTTTATGTACCACAGTTAAATTCCCTTGAAACGCTTATTTTTGAGGGGAATGAAGGTGCAGATATATCCTGAATCATGCTCAGTAATAAGCCCAGCTTTGTGTGTAGCCAAGAAGGACTGGTGTTCTGCTGTTATCGGACTTCCCTTTTCTTTCATGCAGAATTTTTATCAAAGCTGTGGGAAATACGCTGCCCTGATTCAGATAATACAAAGATGCCTGTATTAGTCGTTAACGTATACCAAAAGAGTCAACATAATGACTTCCACGTAGAATTGCACAGTCAAGCCCATACTACATAGTATTGAATTATGCATGGCATTTTTAATGGTGGAACAAAAACAGTAGCAGAAGAAAGTGCTGCAAAGGACGTGCAGCCTTTGCTGGTTATTAGGCACTGGTGTGTGTGCATGCAAATCCCAAGATATTCTTTGTTGAAACTCTGGTGCTGTGCTATAGAAATCAAAGCGATATGAAAGTAATACCTAATGAGGGAAGATTAAATAAAAGAAAGACTGACACAAGGAAGTGCAGAATACGTACCAACTTATCGTACTTTAGAAAGTGAGAAATAAAGATCTTCTGTTTAGTTAGATGCTGAAAGTATCAACTAGTGTAAATATTTACTGTACAATAATTGCAAGGATTAGTCTTACTTGATAGTCCTCAGTGATGATGGCTGTCAATGTCTATTCAGTGAAAACTGGGAGAATGTAACTAAACTTATTTAAAGAAAAGCTGCTGCATCTTCAGAGGCAGCTGCGGTCTAAAGTCAGTTCATTGAAATTCCATACCCTGTTGTATATGTTTGATATATTCCGCATCCTATTGTATATATTGTTTACCCAAATTCTTTATTGAAACCAAATACTGCGTACTTGGCCTTGGAAAGTTGAGACTGACTTAACAGACCTGCTGTGTAATTTTTTGAATATCCAGAAGTTTAAACGGAGAATTTGGTAAGGGTTCTGTTGCAGTATTGATTTTTCTTACCAAATGCACTAAACTCTAGACTAGGGGGTTTTTTTGAGCCTTTTACAATAGCATTGCTAACATAGATCAAGCTGATATTTGCATTTTTTTATATTCTAGCCTAGAAAAAAGATATGCTGTATAAAATGATTTGAGCTTACTTGACCATTTCTGGTTGTTGCAAAGCAGTTGTTGCTTGCCAATGCAACAATTTCAATTTCATTGAAATGAAATGAAATGTACCGAAATCATTTCTTCACACCTTTCCCTCCCAGTTGCAGAAGTTTCTTTTATTTTTTTTGTAGTGTTACAATGCTATGAGTTTTACAGGGTAGACAAAGTTACCTGAGACCTGATACTTAACTGAAAAACAGAAATGAAAGAAAAACTTGAAGGTGGAGCATCTTGGAGAGAAGCAAAAAGAAAGAGTTTACTACCAGGCCAGACTTGAAAATATTTGAAAAGAGAAAAACATTGCCAAAGCCATAGTGCTGCTTTCCAGATATGCAAAGACTGAAAAATGATTAAGGGAAAAAGTATTTTTCAGGGCGTGAAGACTTATGTTAAAGGTTACCCCATCATACTAAGCTCTGTTGTGTTGCCAGCATAGTACTATTATACCACCAACAGTCCAGTGCAAACTTGATTACTGGTATTTTGATAGCCAAACTCTACTAGATCTAACTTAATTTCAGGCTCTCTAGCATCATCCAATTTATAACATCCAATTATCAAAGCTATGATGTGTTGTTACCACTGGTAATGCCACTGTCAATTTGTCTTGGCTTCACTATATGGGATTTATTTTTATTTATTCATTTATTTTTACTGCAAGTTGCTGAGTGCACTCAACTGGTTGCTATTTTAACAAGATCTCTGGAGAACTCTTCAACGATGATGCATGTAAAGAAAAAAGCCAGCAAGCAATTTACTACCAAGCAGACACCAGATGAGTGGGCAAGAGCCCAGAGTTCAACAAAAAAACCTTAACCATGGAAAGAGTTTGTTAGCACATGCTTGTGCCACACTTTGAAAACATAATGAGAACAAGATAAGAGGCAAAGTTGTTATCTCGCTGGAGTCAGTGACAAGTTTCTGTTGACATCAGGGAAGCAACCACTTTGTCCCTTGCGTTACTTGTGGGTTAGTTAGATACGTTTCTAGCTTTGTTCCGACTAAACGGTACCTTTGTCAACGCTGGAAAAATTGCGATTACAGTGTGTGTTTTCCTAAAACTGCCTGTTCAAATATTTATAAAGTATAACATAACTTGTCTTTTTGTCCCAGCTTCTCGTCTGTTTTTTCAATGCAAGACATTCGGATTTGACTGGGAAAGAAACACTGAGAATAGTAGACTACTTGCATATGTGCTTTCCAAAGACAAGTGCTCCTCAGCATTTTATATTCCTAACTACAATCTTGATGTGGTTGTAAATGTTAAATATAGGTGGTATTTTGAGACATATGATCTTCTCTGTTTCTAGGTGGGCCATGCACAGGTACAGCTCATGCCTCGTTAACCACACCAACCAAAAGATCTTGCGACTCAGGTATGTGTTCTGTGGGGGTCAAGGAATTAGATTTTGCGTGATAGAGAGCTTCATAGTTTAATAGTCAAGGGTAGTAACTATATCTGGCGAATGCCAAAAGAAAATAAATATTGTTGCTTTGCTGTCAGGAATGTGTATATAAAAGGATTTGTATGGCAGATAGTTCATCTCAGAGTCCTCTTAAACATAATTCCATAAATACACTGTTTTCAGTTAATCTTTGTAAACGTACGGGAGTAACCAATTTGATTTAAGTCTAATGATTGTGATAGTGTTCTGGAAATCCCACCTTTAAATGCAAAGTATTGAGTAGAAGACTGTTTGGAGTGTATTGACTTTACTTTCCGTGATTGAAGATGCAGTATAGACAGCTGTGTTTGCATTGAGACTAAATTTTACCTGCTTTGGGTCCTTTCGATGACTTTATTTCTACATGGGGGATATAGATAGATAATCTCTCACAGAGCTAGTGTTAGTAGTGACCAGTTAGGTCATTGCCAGGCTGAAGTTGCTGCTTCCACAGCAGATCTGTCACGAAGAATCGTGTGAGCGCTCATTCAGGCAGGCAGCCAAGTGACCCCCATTGGCTCAGATCTTTTTCAGACTTTGGTTTTGCATGGATTAAGGAGAGCTCATATGATCCTTTCCACCAGCACCATTGTGGGAAGCCATAACCTCCTGTGGTGTGGCAGGCGTCTAGGTAGTGGTAATGTTCTAGCGGTCTGTGTTTCCAAAATAATTTTTGCCGGTATTTGTATTTATGTACCAATTGAGCTGTATTGAGTGTGCAGAAAGGAAGGGTATTCCTGTTTGATTAAGGGCTCTTATTCTTTCAGGAGTTCAAGGTACATTTCCTTTGAAGTCAGTCTTTCGAAAATCGTTTCAAGTTACTGTATGTTTAGCTGAAGGGTGGTTATGCCGCATCTGCCTGTTGTTAGCTTGCAGCGAATGTGTGATGATGCAAATGGGCTTGGTCTGCAGCGAAGGAAGGTTACAGAGGTGCCAGGTGCAGACCTCTCAAGTAATGCTTGGTAATCTGTGACAATGCCATGAGTATTGCTGGCCAAAGAACTCTCTAAGTTAGGCACTGGAAGACACTGGATCCAGCTTCTCCAGAACAGGAAGACTGTGGATTTTCTTTTCTAGGTAGCCATGGAGGTGTACCTAAACAAGGTGGAATGTTTGCCACTGTATCCCTTGCAAACTAATCTGCTTTGCTCATGGTATCACTAAATTATATTTTCTTTATATGTTAGCTGTTGTAATGTTTAACTCTGGTTTTCATTGCAGGGTAATTTAAAAGCTTTCTGCGATGCTATAGATACCGAAAACTGAGTGTGCTATATGAATGTTTAAAAAAATGTGCTTGTGATTAGCAAAAAGGCAAGTAAGTCTGCTATTTGGAGTGTCAAATGGCAACAGTAAAAGCTCCTTAGAATAAAGCAGATAAAGTTACTAGACATGTTGAAAACTATCCATTAAATGGTTGGCTACCTTTGCTCAGTAGTTCTCTTATTTTCGGTTTATGCTAATGTTTGGTCCCTACATGCTTGTGTGTTAATCATTTGGTGTGTTTAGCAAGAAAATAAGGAGATGTTTTTAATTTGATGCCACAAGTTTCATCTTCAGTCAACTAAACCTAATGATTTTATATTAACTCATTTTCCCCCAATGTTTTTTACATTATTTGCTCAGTGATCTGCATATCTTGTTTGTAGTCCCTTACACTAATAAACCAGTTATCAGGACTTACAGTTTTCTTCTCCAGAGCTTGAATTTTCAGCAGACTTTTGTTTTTAAACTAAATTACCATGTTTTCAAACTCTGCGTTTGGGAGTCCAGATAAATCTGGGAATTGACAAGAAAACATTGGCTACAAAATATTACCCAGAAATGGTGTGACATCTTCAGGCATAAGCAGCAGGCTATGTAGGCGAATATTTCACACTACATTCACTTTAGCTTAGTGTCCCTTCCTAGGAAGCTATTTAAGTGATACAAGTGGTATTTGTCAATACTACACATTGTGTATAAGCCTCTTGTCTGTAAGTTACCTACATTTCTTCTGCTTGGAAGAGCTTTGAAGGAAGAATGTTTTGGTGGAATTCATCTGTGGAATTTTTTTTCTCCCTTCAAGCATAGTTTTTCCCTAAAGTCTGCCATATATCAGTATTTGAGACAGAAAATTAGAAATTTGACCTAGTTATCATGTGTGCAGGTTCCCATCAGGAGGATATTAAGGAAGACATAAACCTTTCATATTTTATTAGCATTAATGTAACCAGTGAAGAAAGATCAAAACAATAAATCTGCCCAGACACAGGTAAAGTTCTTTCTCTCTCAAAAAAAAAAAAAAAAGAGTGTTTACGTCACGCACTTGTCAGCTTGCATGCTGGAGGAGATGTTCAGCTAAAAAATTGTATTATGACACCAAATAGCGGGTTTTTTCCTCCTCCTGTTCACCAGAATCATTGCTGTGGTACAAAGTATTTCCATTCCAAAGTGTGCCCATAGGACAAGGATTATAATGAAAAGAATGGATAAAGCCTTGCAATCATTAGTTTGGATGATGCCTCAAAGGTTTTTGAGAGCCAGTGGTCTGAAGATTTTGTAGGAAACAAGATGGGACTGCGTGGCCTGGTGTATAGCTTCTTATGTATTTTGATTCGTTTCTTAATGGTTAGGTAATGTTATGATTGATGGCACGTATTTTGAGGCTTACTCTAGTCAGTAGGGCATCCAGATCCCATTTATATTGGGTGCCCGTGTCGTGAAAGCGCAGTACTAAGTGGCACATTACTCTTCTTTTTCTGCTGTACAAGTTCGAGATGATTTAATACACAATTCTAAAGAGCCAGATTTTAAAACACTTTCATGCAGCTTAAAGAAACCTGGAAAAATTCGGTGGAACTGTGTGAGTGCGCTCAGTTAATTTTTAATTGTGCGGTAGAGAGGGTAGTAGAAACAGGCAGATAAAATACAGTAATGATACAATCAATTCATGTTATATCCATAAAGTTGGTGAGTTCTGATGTACTTCATTTCTCAGTAGCAGTTCATGAGAAACGTGCATCTTTAATATTCTGTATAGTTAGTTATATGGGCAGATAGCTCACATTCTTTGAGGGTATCTGCCCTAGATGGGTGTGGTGGTATTTATATTGTGTGAGATTACAGTGTCTGTCTCATTGCTCTATGCTTTTTCCAGTTTAAAATTTGAGTCTAGAAGATGCAAATAATTCTTCCACTGCTTGAGCAAAGCAGTTAGGCAGGTGTATGGTCCTTTTTGAAGTTTCGCGTTTATTGATGTTCTTATACTAAGTTGTGCTTGGTTGTAGCAGTGCCAGAAATTGAAACGCTTTGAGGCTGAACCTATACAATAGAGAGGACAGCCTCTTAGGAGTTATAGAAAGGGCAGGTTGTGGAAATAGAAGCACACAAATTTTCAGCCAGAGCCAAACGCAAGAAACCATTACTTTCTTATGATCATTTTTTATCAATCTTTCATGTGTTGAGTAAGGACAAAAAGACCTGGTATACCACTCATTAGAGTATTTTTTTTTTACTTGCTCTGAAGTGCTAAGCTCCTGAGCAAAAAATACACAAAAGATAATTGAAGCGGGCTTATAACATTAAAACAACTTTGAGGTATATTTTTCATTGGTGTTCCAAGGGACTTTTAACGTGTTCTTTAGTGTTTGACTTCTGGAGGGCATTTTGTTAGAAATCCAACCTTCTTGGAGCTCTCTCACCGACAAGAAAGTGATGATAGAGCAGCCTTCCAGCAGCACAATAAATCACCCAGCCCTGGCAATAATAGTGCCCATTAGGGATGCTCTTCCCTCTCCCCCCCCCCCCCCGCCCCGCTCAGTTTGCAGCTGTACTAATAGAACTGCGCATCAGGCAAGGCTGTAAATAAAAGTTATAACCTAATAGGTGGGCGCTGAAGTGGAACGGACAGGAGCTGAGGCATGGAGGCCTTATTACTGCTCATCAGCAATTATAAACAGGATAAAGTGGCTGGGACTTGCACTGATGCAGCAAGAGCTAATAGAGGCTGGGAGATGACACCGTACCATGATCAGATGATGTATGTTGATGGGTTTTTACTATCTCATCTTACTGGCTGTTTCTGTGATGTGTTGTATTCTCTGTTCTGTGCTTCCATATCTATCTGGATGGACAGACTGGTTTCCTCTCCTGCTCAAAGGAGCTTGAGCACATATACTTAAGCTTGCCTTTTTGCACATACGCTTTGCTTTAGTTGCCAGTACTGGTTATCGAAGAGCCTTCGCAAAGTGTTATGATTATTGTAGATTAAAATCCTCCTAATGGTAAGGATCATAATAGTTATATCTGTAAACAAACTTAAGGACTTGCTGCAATTGTAGGACTTATTTTCACTCTAACGTTGTTCAACTTTACAAAATCAACCTCGTTCATTAAAAACAGTGGATATGGTCACCTGAACGGTCTTCTACAGTAGGTGCATCCCACGCGTTTTAGACTAAATGTGTTACAACCAATGTGGCTGGAGAATCCAAAGAGATGGGCTTGGGGTCAATATAACAAAAAGTTTGTTAGAAGTCAGATATAGCTGTGGTGATCCTTGCCTCCGAGTTACAAAAACTTCAGCTGTTCCTGGGAAGGTTTTTAAGAGCTTGTTAGCACACAGTAATTGGTAATATTCACAAAAAAGTCTTTTCTTGATCTTTTATCTGTCACAGAGAGTCTAGCGCGTTTCTGTGCTAGACATCTAAATCATCTCTTTACTAAACGTTAGTGAAAAAAATGCCTTGAAATTTAGCCTGTACTTGCTTTAATCTAAAGGGAAGTTTTGCAAGAATCTTCATAGTTCATACATTAATCACTCATGCTGTTTACTTCTGAAGAGAATTTTCTTCTGAGTAGTGGAAAAAATACGACATTCAGAAATGAAAAGGAGTGCAGCAGCATGACAGCATGTGAAACCAGTGACTCCTATCCTTGTCTATTCAGTA